AACATGCTGAAGAGAAACTGTGACCTAAATAAGATTCCCGTCGTATAATATAAGCATGCAGACATTGACCTTGAGGCAAATGAGAAAGATGTATGATGAGAGGATAGTTATTATGGTAACTGTGTTGGGATCCACTCATGAAATCATGCTGCTCAAGATTAAAAAGGTAACATGAGCTAGGTCATTTTTTTCTTGGTGGTAACCAAAGCATTCCTCGAGATTAAATTTCTATAGGGAGAGCTATCAAAAAAGATCCCTAGCCATAGCTTAATCGCCACTGTTGATATACATAGCAGTTAATGCAGAGTTCCAGGGTACATTAATTTCTATCCCTTGCTTTATCACAAAAGCATGAATTGTCCTCTCCTCCCAATAATTAAATAAGTTTCATCTTCGCATGCAGCAAGGATTGAAATAATTGTATAAGAGTTGGGCTCGACATGAGTTTCTTGCATTATTCCAAAGACTTTCAATGCCCCAATTCCCACCATTTGGAGAGAGTTCACGGCCTGCTGTCCAGTCTCTGTCATCCGGAAGATAAGGAAGAATTTTTAGGGATTGAGAGTCTTTAAAGAGGAGAGTTAAATATCCCGTCAACGTGGTTATCTTGCGTGGTGGGTCAAGTTAGTTGGTTTTAACGTATTAAATCAATATTTTGTTATTTTCAGGGATTTAATCATGTCAAATCATCAAGAATAAAAATATTAGATGCGGAAGCGTAATTGATAAGTTAAAAGATCTTCCAAGATGATAGAGTTCACTTAAGTATATTTGATTGGATAAAAGAAATACTAGATTGTCTATTTCTTGAGAACCATAACCCCTTTATATAGTTGATTTAAGAATCAATTATTATATACACTTATAACTCTACACCTCATCGAATCATAATACAACTTTAATAATATTTTTATTTTTATTTTCATGACACTTCTAATATCTTATGACTTTATAACATAATTGATCACTTAATTTATGTCATATTTTATGATAACAATATAGATTATAAATATATGCCCATAATTATAGATTTTACTCTAACAATATTTTCATTGGAAAATTTTCTTTATTTTTTCTTTTTCTGATGCACCAGTGGCGGATATAAAAATATAAGAATGATAATCCAAAATTTAATATTATTTTCTTATAAATAATGGGTACACAAAATTTTTTCCCATTAACATATTAAATTAAATTTCTAAGTGTTGTTAACGTGGGTTACTATTTGTTTTTTCTTGTTTCAACTTTTTTTCCCTTTTATTTTGTTTAACGGCTCAGATCTAATTTATTAATCTCTTCTCTAATCTAATGATCCCTTTTTGTTTCCCATAAATTTACAGTTTTTTAACATCCATCCCTTATTAGAATTCTCGGAAAAAAGTGCTCAGCTTTTGGGTGTACCTTATGATAATGGTATGTGGGTAGCTAGGCAATATCATGATTTAGCTTTGAAATGTACAAACCAAACATGCTAGTGAATGATTGCAATGGCCCCTTGTTGGCCCTTTCCCCTCCCTTTATCAAGAAATTCATATGACAACACTTCATCAATTCGAATGGCTTTATCACGTGAAAGCAAGAGCGTGACGCTTGGCTTGCGTACCTGTACCACGAGCTGGCTTTTATTATTCTCATCTGCATTTCCGCCCCACTTTCAGAAAAATTTGGCTCCCCTTCGAATTTTCAATCTCTTGCTATGTTTTTAAACTGTGTAAAAGTAAAACCTTCTTTTGTACTCATTAAATTTTAATTTGTGCATCTAATTTGTCCTTAATTTTAATTTTACGAATCAAACAATCATAATAGTTAATGGAATGATTGCTATATCTAGAGATTCTTAATTCAATCATATCGTTTGCAAGAATATTTAAATGTTCATTATCACAAGATTATTATATAAATGTTATAAAATAATCACTATGATGCTATAAAAAGTGTAAAATTTTGATAAATTTAGTGAACACTTGTAAAAATTCTATAAAAATATAGATCATTTTATAATAGTTTGCTAAAATTTAATGATAATTTATTAAAAAATTGATAAATTTAATGATCGTCTTATAACTTTTAAAAGATTAGTGAATAAAATGATCATTTGAGCATTTTTTGTTGTACTTTATCCTTTATTTTTTGTCACTTGTTCAACAAATCATTCACAATAAATTTTTATAACAATTTTTTATTGAGTTAAGGTAATTACTAAGTATTATTTGTTCTAAATACTCTTCACCATTTGATAATGAACGCTCAATCACAGTGCTGCAGTTACTGGTGCTCGAACTTATGACTTCTAGGAATAATAATAATTCCTTTAAAAATGAGATAAGTTGGTTTATGCTTTAGTAACATTTTGGTGTTGACCTGAAGTTTAATAAATATTTTTTTTTATTTCACCTCATAATATTCTTTATCAAAATTAATATTTTTTTCCACCCATTTTCATTTTCCATCAAAAATTACTATTATCTAGTGTTTTCTATAACAAATCTAGATACCGACGAACCCATCTCATCATCCTCTATCATTTTATCGATTTATATATTTTTTGTACCTCTTTAGAACTCATAAAATCAAATATAAAGATTTATCATTTTTAAGGTTCGAAACTTTCTCAATTTAAACGATAAAAATATGTTCTTTTGAGAAGACAAATAATATATCTCTAAACTAGTATTGTCAAATTACCATCAAAGGAAATAAAACTCATTTTAATGTTAGTTGGAGGTTGAGCGATTTAGGAGAGTGAGAGAGTGATTTTATAAAGGGTAAACTAGGTCAATGGTCACTAGTGTTAGGGTAAGTGTTCTTTTTCACCACTTATGTTTTAAAAGGTCAAATCGGTCACTAATATTATGTGTTAGTTACAAATTGATCACTCAACGTTAACATATATTAATAGGCATGACGAAAAACATAGGTAGACCGCTATCTGCTGAGTTGGATCATTGACAGTTACAACTGAACCATTTTGATTGGCTCTTCTTCTTCAACCCAACCCCATCTTCTTCCTTAACCTAACCAAATTGGTGATTGTATTCCAAGCCACACAGTCTGCTTGGAAACCCAAGTAAGCATCAATCACAAATTCCCTTCTTTTCTTCTTATTTCTTTCTCTTCACTCTTCTTCTCCATAACTTCTCACTCATTAATTCTCTGCCTTCCCAGCTTCTCCCTAGCTTTCTCTCTTTCTTCCCTCCCTTTTTTCTTTCTTCCTACTTTCTTTCCCATTCTTTCCCATTCTTTCTCAATCTCCAATCGAACACTCTCCTTTTTTTTTCCTTTCACACACTCTATATGCCTCACGTTGCTCATACCGAGCCTCAAATTCCCTTAACTGCCATAATTGATTAGTTCACAAGAAATCCGAATGTCTTCTCCAGACACTTCAACACTTTCGTTTTCTTTTTCAGATTCAACTCATTCAATTCCACTTTCTCATACAACAAACCATCATCTCCCTCTTCAACCTCCATGGAGGATTCCTTTATCGGGACGGAAATCAAATCCGGATCGGATCAGCTGTTATGGTGGGATGAGTGTAACAGACCCGATTATCCGGAAGGTGAATTCAAGAAGACATTTAGGATGAGCAAGTCAACGTTCGAGTTCATTTACTTCAAGTTGAACTCTGTCGTCGATGATGATAAAGACGTCACCGTTAAGCAACGAGTGGATTTTTTAATGAACTTTGGATCGCGGGGAGCTAAGGGTACCCATTGATGAAGTGAGTTTTGGTCCCTTGCAATCAAATACGGTTAACATGGATGCAACACGTGTTTAACAAGAAGATTAGTGAGATCCAGAGAGTTGGTAAAGAAGCATTGATGAGAATAAAAAGGAGATGGTATTGTTTGCAGATGAAGGAGTGATTTAAAGTTGCAGGATTTGGGTGGTGTTGTTAGAGCTTGTAGTGTTCTTCATAATATATGTGATATGAGTGGTGATGGGTTTGAGTGTAAATAGGGATGTGAGTTTGTTGTTGTTGTTGTTGACGACAATGATGATGAGTTGGTGGGTGAAACTGATTTGAGATCGGCGAGTTCCGTGGACGCTAGAGATGCTATCACTTTATGACCTTTTTCATCATGCATGCTATTAATTTTTAAGATACTGTTTGGGTTAATTGTAAATTTGTTTGTTTGGGAAGTTTTGGAGAAGAAAAATAAAGAAAAAGAAGAAAAGAAGAGAATCTATCACTCATAACCAATTTGGTTGGGTTGAGGGAGAAGAGGGGTTGGGTTAAAGAAGAAGAAGAGATGATCAAAATAGTCTAATTGTAGTGGTCAACGATCCAACTCAGTAAATAACGATCTAATTATATTTTTCGTCATGCCTATTACCTTCTGTTATCATTGAGTGACATGTTTGTAATTAATCGATAACGTTAGTGAGCGATTTGTAACTTTTGAAACATCAATGGTAAAAATGAATACTTACCCTAACATTAATGATCATTGGTGTAATTTATCCTTTTATAAACTTTAAGTGAGTTTGATTTGACTAGGAAAAGTGAGTTAATTTTCGAGCTCGGACTTTTGTTTAGATTTGGTTTTGAGCCCAAGTTTGGATTTAAGAGAAAATCGGCTTAAGCCCAATTTTAGTCTTTAGGCTGATTTAAATTTTTATGTCCATTTATTGGTCCAGACAAAATTAGGTGAGGAGAGATAGCTTATTAAGAGAGAGATATAGTCAACCACTAGAGGTGCAATATGCAATGAACATCGTGTTAATATTTGACTTCCTTGATTATGGTTATGGGTCACAATTTCACATTTGCATGTTCACGACAAAGACTCACCTGAAGCTATTAGTTTTGTAAAGTTATTTAACATTTAACCAGCTAACTTCGGCATTAGAATGGTATACTGTACGCCCGAGCAAACCTTTTGAAAAAGCTCCCTCCGAGGCAGACCCCGTGAGGTCCAAGTACAAACATCGATCTACTCAACGTCAATCACCGACCTTATTTAATAGAGTAGTAGATACCTAGCAAGTAGCAACTCGCCTTTGTGCATTTGTCGGTACCTAAGCTCTTTCCTTTCCCATCCTCTCGTCTCTATTTCTCTTCGATTTCCAACATAAAAAAACTAGCATCGAGCATGTATAATCCTAGTGCAAGGTACACGACCTTGCTTCTCCTTTTACCCATTTCAGCACTTGCCTTGGTCTTCATTTCGTCTGCCAACGCCACACAAATCCAGCATTTTCATGTCCACAACCACCTCCAAATTGCTCACTCAGCGTGTGAAGGAACCTTATACCCCGACCTTTGTGTCTCCACCATTTCCTCACTCCCAGATCTCACCTCCAAATCATTGCCCGAGCTCATCCAAGCAACTCTGAACCAAACCATATACGAGGTTAGACTCTCCTCTTCAAACTGCTCCACCATCGAAAAGAAACTCAAATTTTACAACGCATTGGCAGAGGCGGCCATTAAAGATTGTCTTGAGCTCTTTGACGACACCCTGGAGGAGCTGAGAGTTGCCCTAGTTGATCTTTCCCCCAAGAAACTAGCAGTCTCCAAGAACTACCACGACTTGCAGACATTGCTAAGCGCGGCAATCACGAACCAGTACACGTGTCTTGATGGGTTCTCTCGCAGCAGAGGAAATGCTAGGGACATTATAAAAAACGGTCTTCACAAGATCAGCCACCACGTCAGCAACTCTCTCGTCATGCTCAACAAAGTCCCTGGTGTCAACAAATCCAAATCGGAGGCTTTTCCTCAGCACGGACGCTTGAAAAACGGGTTCCCTTCATGGTTATCCAGGAGAGATTGGAGACTCGTACAGGCTTTAGTTAATGAAACCAAGTTCGACCTGGTAGTTGCCAAGGACGGCACTGGAAACTTCACTACGATTAGTGAGGCTGTTGCCGCTGCTCCAAATAACAGTGAGACGAGGTAAATTAGTTGACAAATTCATGCTACATTTTTCCATTAGATGTTAACTAGTTTGAGAACATTGATAAAGGCTGCTTAGTTGTTGAAACAGGTTTGTGATACATATAAAAGCAGGGACTTATTTTGAGAATGTAGAAGTTGTAAGGAAAAAGAAAATGCTGATGTTTGTGGGAGACGGGATCGGGAAGACAGTGGTGAAGGCCAGTAGAAATGTGGTTGATGGCTCTACGACGTTCCGTTCTGCCACCGTTGGTGAGTTTAAAAATTCTCAAACAACTTTCTATTTTGATCCATATTGGATGTATTCACCATGTGCAGGAGTGTATCTCCATTGATTTCTTTATCAATCAGAAACGAAAGTCTTGCTGACGTGTCCCCGCATGATCTTTTTGTTCCTTTTTCTGTTTGTTCTCTTCCTTCTGGTCATATACGTAGATGATATTGATAGATCCTCGCGAGCAATTTCGAATAATTTGAATAGAATAAAGTAGACACTGGGCAATATGCATGCTATGATAAAAGCAACCCCATTGTTTCAACGACGGACCACATTCTCCTAATTCATTAAGCGGTTTTAGTAGTGAAAGAGAGTTATTTTTCTTAATAGATTTTGAATTTGTGTAAAGCATATGCATTATTATTCTTATAGGTTCCGAGTTTAAGCAACTATGTCTATATTATCAATGAGTTAGGATTACGGCCGTGGGATGAAATTGTTTTATCCATTTTAAGGTGTGTCGGTAGCATACGATTAGAACAGGCATGCCCTGATGCCCGTGCATCTAGGGTTAACGAAAGCGCGTTAATTACTGAATTTGTCGGGTAGAAAGGTTTTTGTCTTTTCCTTTCTTTTATTCAGAACACCTAATTATTGCTAATCATTTATAATAAGAAACAACTTTACAAAAAAATTCAACTCTCTCTACAGTTGCTCGCATGCTTTGTGGGTACCTTTTCATTGATTTCATTGATCTTCCTAATCATTAAGAAAGTTCTCCAACTAATTAAAGCAGAGTATTGTGTTTTTCTTTTAATTTGTTTCAGCTGTGGTGGGGGGCGGATTCATAGCCAAGGGGATAACGTTTGAGAACTCGGCAGGACCGAGCAAACACCAAGCAGTGGCATTAAGGAGCGGGTCAGACCTCTCGGCATTCTATAAATGCAGTTTCGTTGCCTACCAAGACACTCTCTACGTACATTCCCTCAGGCAATTCTATCGCGAATGCGACGTATACGGGACCGTTGACTTCATATTCGGGAACGCGGCTGCTGTTTTCCAAAGCTGCAACTTATATGCTCGTAAACCGAATCCGAACCAAAAGAACATTTTTACCGCTCAAGGAAGAGAAGACCCTAACCAGAACACCGGGATTTCAATTTTGAACTGCAAGATTGCTGCTGCCACGGACTTGATCCCGGTAAAATCGTCGTTCAAGACGTATTTGGGGCGTCCTTGGAAAGAGTATTCGAGGACGGTTATTGTGCGTTCGTACATCGATGACTCGGTGGATCCTGCTGGATGGTTAGAATGGAATGGGACATATGCTTTGAGTACCCTGTATTATGGGGAGTATTTGAACCGAGGGCCAGGGTCGAATACGAGTGCAAGAGTAACTTGGCCTGGTTATAGGGTTATCAACAGTTCCACTGAGGTAATTCAGTTTACTGTTGAGCCATTTATACAGGGCAGTGAGTGGTTAAACTCTACTGCCATTCCATTCGCTCTTGGTTTGAGTTGAAAGTGCCGGAGTGCTAAATTTAGGCGCCTCTTTTCTTTTTGTTAGTAATCGTATTCTATGTTGGTTTGATCAAGTGAGGCCACCCTGCATATTGATGTCTTGTCAAATTGCTTTTCTATTAAAATTAAGGTTTATTTGTTTTTTTTTTTTTGAAAAATCAAAAGTTCCAAGTCTCGATCACCTCGACTTAGAAAATCCATCTATTCATAATATAAGTGAGAGCATTTAACCGTGGTAAAAAGATAATACCCAATTGTATCACATTTTATGATTGTTTTTGTTTCTTATTATATCAAATTTTAATTTTACTTTTAAAAAAATCCTTTATATTGTTGAATTTATCTTTATCTCTCTATTTGGTTGTCATCTTATTAATTTATTGTCGAATTATTTTCTTTCATTTTGATAAATGTTAGTAGTTTCGGATATAGTTAGATCATTTTCTGGCATAATATTACGTACTTTAAGTCATTTTCAATTAAAATATTAGTTAAATAATGTATTTACCTCTCCCAATGTTTGATCCAAATTTCATTTCTAGTAGTTATCTAAAATATATTGTGTTTGAGTTGTAATTAAACCGATTGTTAATTTAAATATTTGTTAAATAATGTATTTACCTCTCTCATTGTGCTGTCCTGTTCTATTGTTATATTACTTGATTGTGCTTATCTTTACTTCCACCTATGGTTTTTGTATATTTTATTTTTGAAATTATTTAATTGAAATTTTTAATAATGTTTATATGAATCTATTTATAAAATAAATTATATTTAGAAAAGAAAGATGAAGACAATTTTAAATAGAACTTAAACATGTGGGATTTTAGTAATAAGTAAATTTAAATAAAATTTAAGTAGATGAAGTTGAAAATTTCAACGTCGTAATCTCGATCCTTTTGTGCCTCGATTTCATTTTGAGGAGGCTCTTCGATTATTAAAGAATCATGTCAATGTAACGCCAGTAATATTAATATTAACAGGATTACATGAAGATATATAATTTTACTTCAATTAAAATATAATATATCATTTATTTTCTTAAAAATATATTAAAGTATAATATATAAAATAATATACTATATCAAATATAAATAGATGTTAATATTGTGTCTATCGTTTTGTGGAAGTTTTAGTTGATTAATAGATGAAAGTTTGAGAATAATTCCTGTTAGTCTACATGCAGTGTCCCATTCCCTTTGGTTTACTAATACTCTATTTACATTCTTATTTTTTTAATAAAATTTTTATTTAGAATCGAAGGGGATAGAAAGAGAAAAAACGTCGTGCCAGTATTTTTAGTTCACTGCATTAGCTTATAGTCAAATTTAAATGGATATATTAATTTTATTTTTTATATTTATTTTACCGTTTATATTTAAGGTTTATGATTGTTTCTTTCTTAAAACAAATTTTTAAACTCAAATTTAAATTCTTATATTAAAAGTATAATATATATCATTAAGTCGAGAGTTATTTAAAACTAAATCAATGATTAAAGGATTATTATTATTCTTTGAGGTCCCGGATTCAAGCATCACGTATGTTAAAAGTATAAACGCTTATTGTCAAATTACTAACTTTTTAAACAAATAAAACCTTATTTTCACACGAGAATTATAAAAAAAAATCAATCAATCATGAATTTTGAAACCTATCAATATTTTAAAAATAATATTAAAATCATATATTTTATGAATTGATTTTTTATAATATATTCAAAAACCTCTAAAATATGATGATAAATTACATGTTTAGTACCTAAACTATATTTTTATTCTGTTTTGGTATCCAAAATTTATTTTGTTTTAAAAAATCACTGTTAACATTTAGCTTAGGTTTTAATTTAGTACCAGCCGTTAAAGAGTTAATAGAACTGCTGAAATTATATTTTTTTTATTTTTCAATGATGAAATGACATTAACTTATGATAACATGTCAACGTCACCGTTTACAATTTAACAAAAAATATCAAAATGAAAACTAAACTATACATTAAGTATGATTTTGAAAAAAAATAAAATTTGAGTATAAAAACGGAACAAAAATAATAGTTCTGTAGTTTACCAAAATATAATAACCTTTGAGAAATTATTTATGCAGGTTAATATACTAACTATGAACAGTTTAGTTCTGTTTCAATAATAAAACTAAGATGGCTGGATGGCTGCTTTTTCGTTTTATTATCTTTAATTATTTTCTCTTTTCGACTTTTCGTTCATTTGCATCAAAAACATACTGACCATTGTGCTCAGCAACATGACATGGGTCCTCCTCTTCTGCCACTCCTTTTACATAATTCAGAAAATTAAGACCTACCCACAAGTCTAGTCTCAATCCTCTTCTGATTGGCAGCAAATTAAGGGAATTCCCCCACCTAAATTATGCTGTATCGCATATGGAATACTCACGCAAAAAGAAAGTTCAATCACAAAAGTAGATCAAATCCCCTCCCACATGGAGAAACTCATTTTGGGATAGTATATGATATCCACGATTGACACTTTATCTAATTGTAAAAGTTTAGCCTTCCATCAATAATTCCTCATGATTTACATGACGCTCCAAAGAAAGATGAAATTAGAGCACTCTAACAAAGATGGGAGGAACAAGATTGCATGACCTGACATTTACAAATTTGTGAAATTATTTGGTGGGTGGAGGTGATCCGAATTCCCCATGTGCATTGGAGATACGAGTTCTTTGGCCTTATCTTGAATTATAGATTCAAGGGTATGATTACAATGTACAAAATTTTCTTCTGCATGGGCATCTATCCATCCTTTTGTGACTAACTCGTTGAACTCAAAAGATCGATTTGCCAGAGGATTTTTTTTTCAACCCACGTTTCCATCCACCATCTTTCTCCGACATAAATTTTCAATCTTGAACATTTGATCTCATATATTTTTTTCTTTTATGTTTATGGTTCAGTGTCTATTGTCTATGATGTCCAATTTAACTAAAATTATATCTTACGATTGGTTGCATTGTTTTTATTTATTCAGTGATGGTTGAGTCTTATTGATTTGAATGTTTAATTATTGAATTTTGGCTATTATTTAACTTTTTTTTGGAATAGGTGGAAGATTGGAAATAAAAGGAGCTTAAAGTTAAATTTTGACATAATTTTGCAGTTTGGACTTGTATATAAATTCTAACGTAAATATGTTTTAGTGATTTTATCATGTCTTCAACTCTAAACTTAATTTTGTGCGTATAATACATTGTTGGAAAGCTAAAACGGTACTCTACTAACAAGGGTATCAAGTCGAAAAATGCTCTTCTTTCCTCTGGCGTCTTAATTAGCCTAGTGACATGGTATTAAAACGTGAGACAAACTTCGTACACGAGCACATTCTTGTGTCATACGGCCAGGGTTCAAACTAGTAAAACGTGCGGTCCTAGGCACGGAAACATGAGTTGTGTGCCTAAATCAACATTTAATTTGGATGAAAAATTTGTTTCCTTGGCTTAAAAATGATATAACAAGTTGAATAAGTGAAAATAGTATTTGAGAAGGTTTAAGATCAAAGGACGACAAAAGATATTTGAGTGAAATGCTATTATTTATCTTATTTGCTTGTAAAAATAATCATGTAATCCAACGTCGACTCCATTTACTCCATTGGTCATGATTAAAAAATCTAACCACAAGGTAAGTCCTAATACAGATCAATGCCTATGTTTTATTCTTGAATCTTAATCCGACTTTGTTTCTATTTACTTGATGAACTGAGTCTCTTGAATGTGTTTTTTTTGGGATGATAACAAGTATAATTCAGCTTTGGATGACTTTTTTATTTTAATGCATCGCTTAAAACTCCTCGGACGCCTATTTTTGAATGGATATCAGACCTTGATTCACATCTTATGATATTGTCTTCCACTAAATTCAACGATGTCCTCGTCGTTTTTAAGAACTAACTCGGTTTGAGTTATCACATATCTCCATTGGGGATTTGGCTTGCTTCCAACGCCTTTGAATGGCTTGCCTTGCCCTATATTATCATGTAGCTTTGTTTGTCTTCCTCCAAATATCTTTGGTAAAGTTAATGACGATCAGTGTTTTAATCCATTCTTCGCATCTTGATGGACTGGCACAATATATTATTTGCAAGCACCCAAGACATAAATAGAGTCAATACAAGAGATAATAAAGAGCATTAATATGGTCAATGAAGATTAAATCGAGGACAAAGTCATAGTCATCCAAAGGGGTTACTTTAAAATCTTCATGGCCTCTCCATTCACCAATCTATTGTTGGACCATTCGTACCACTCCCATGCATGGTTGGGACTTCTCCAGAATTGACAATTTTGATCCACTTAATTAATATTGAGCGTCATTCCTATCCAAATAACTTCCTTCGCCATCACTTGATTGCTTTTCATCATGTTTTTCTTCGTTTTAGGGCATGCAAGATTTGGCTCTGATCGATTTGTCCCTAATAAACTTGATCAATGACTCGATGATAGCTATGAATTTAGAGGACTCCTTAACACCTCCTCGTTGTAGCTTAGTCTTAGCCCAACATTGTAAACCATCCATAAAAGTGAAGAAAGCGTCTTTGTTGCTCATATTCGAGAGTTGTAGCATGAACTCACTGAATTGACACACATACTTCAAATTGACTTATCCTGTTTAAGATGTCTTAACTTTGATAGAATATTTTAAACTAAGTTTAATTCACTATTTAAACATTTTAAACTATAACAGAATAACATAATGGATGAATATTTCATATCACTTAAAAATATCACATCATATTGCAATAAAAAATATCATATCATATTTTAAACCAATACCATATAATGTAATTAAATTCATCTCATGAAATTAATTATTTTCCAATCAGATATTTAAAAAAATGGAAAAAGTATACTCATTGTAAAAGTAAATCAAAATGCAATCTACATGATACTACAATGACATGTGCAACACTCTTACTGTTATATATTTTTTAAATATATTATTCTTACATGGAGAATGGATTTCCATTCTTTGAAAACAATATTTTTCTCTCCTTGGAAAATCCTGTGTAGACTAGCCAGTTGTAGGTTGTGGAAAAAGTGTTCCTGGCAGTACTTACATGTCA